CCACCTCCCAGCGGCACCACAAGTGGCGAGCAAGCCTTTAATACGGCCTGTGGGTGCTGCCCAGCAGCACTTCCATGAAGGGTCGGAGAGATTCAGACCCTCAGAAGCAGAGATGGATGATGGTTGCTGGCGCCTTGTGCAGGGAGAAAAGGGCATGTGAGTCGCAGACTCAGAAGCGTAGCGTAAGAAAGGCGGTCAGAGATCTCCTGTTACACTCAGTGCCACACTGTACACCTAAACCATGCCAGGGAGGTGAATCTCAGATTGGTATCACACTCGCAGTAAGGAAGTTTTGAAAAGCAGAAAGAAACATTTGTAGACACTAAATACATCTGTGGCGGTGGGTTTCTGGGTGCACACTTCCGTCCACACTCATGAATTTGTAAGCACTGAATATGTACAACTCTGAATATTTCACTCATACCTCTGTATACCAAAGGAAAAATTTTGGTAAAAGGTGGCTTTGGAACACAGAAAGGGAGTACTCACCTCCTTCTCCATTAAATGAGGGTGAACAAGTGACATCCTGGTGCTTGAAATGTTTAGCCATTTAGGGAGTTATACACACAGCGAATGTTCATAGAATGCTGTGCACAAAATTTTAGGTTCCCATGCACAAGAAATTCACTTTATGTGCTTGGACAGCAGGTTAGGAACCTGCGTCACGATTATCTCTGAGCCCTTGTCTAGCTTGTGTGTTCTCTACTCCATGACTGGGGACAGCAGAAACCAGAGTCCAGGTTGAGGACGGCCACCTTGTCCTCGTGGTCTTCACTTGACCCAGCTGGCGAGAGGCTGGAGAAGAGGCGATCAATGCCATCGACCTCCTGAAGGTCTTGGGAAAAACCTCAGAGACACAGTAAAGCTCACTGGCTGCTGAGAATGTCTTCTCCCATGATTTCTGTGCCTACTTCATGCTTTGAGGAGGTGCAGGGTGGAAAATCAGGATGCTTAATGGATTCCGTGGGTTCCTAGAAAGTTGCAAACAGATCAGCTTTTTGAAAATCCAATTTCTGCAACATCTGGTCATGGCTTCATTTGGAGGCGCCCAGCAGCGAATCCCGATGGTAGCAGATGCTTGGTTGCTGGAGCAGAGGCTCTGGGAGAGCTGGGAGGGGCATCAGCCTCTGCCCTGCAGCTTGGGTAAAACCTGGACTGGGCCAGCAGGGACCCGATTGCCACTCCAGCTTCCTGTGCATTTTCTCTCTGGTGGGGACACCTTACCTAACAACTCTACACCTGAGCTTCCTGATCTGCATCATGACAGTCCCCAAATCCACTTCATAATTCATGAGCTTTCAGTGACAGGGAGAATATCAGAGAACTTGGCTCAAGGTAGTTGCCCCAAGAGTGGCAGCTCTTGGTGACATTTTATTGTCCCTGCTGTCATCGATCTTGACCATGATCAGAAATCACATTCTGTCTACATGGACCAGCCTTCACCAGGTGGCTAGAATGTACCTATTCATATTATTTTTGTGAGCGTCTGTCCACATAGACTCATCTGACCTAAGTTTTAGAATTCGGAAGTCACGTGGAACTGAAGGCTTGTGACTTGGCTCCATCTTCTCCAAGACCTTGGCGTAGACTGTGTATGCAGCTCAGAGTTCTCATGTCACACCGGGATCTCCCCACACACTGCCATGGACCCCCCAGCCCACGCAGGCCTCTGTCCCCAGTGGGTGCCACACTGTAAAAGGCTGGTTACAGTGACTCAGTGTTGACCCACCTGACCGGGACTAACATGTGACCTTTCCACTCATTGTTATGGTCACAGGTGCAGTGCTGACAGTGTCTTCCATGTCAGTCCTGCCAGCAGTGCTGTAGGCGTGGTCTCTGCTCCATGTTATAGGGAAGGAAACTGAGGCATGGCCAGTCAAGCTGGCTCAGCTCGAAGGCGACACAACTGAGGTGCTAGCCAGTTTCTGAGGCTCCAGGATTCCTGCTGACTCCAGGTGCTCTGCCTGCTTGCTGGGGACTCTGAGTGGTTTTTTCCTCAGGACAGAGAGGAGTCATAGGAAAAGGACAAGGCAAGGATGCCGGCACTGGATAAGGAGGGCTGCCGTGGCTCCGGGGCTGTGTGGGTGGGGACTGCGGACTGCAGGGGAGGGGCAGCCTGAGCTGTGTAGCTCATCTTTTCATCTTTATTCTTTTAAAACACAAAGGTCTCATACACAAGTGTCCTCACTTCCCTCTTCCTGCCCTGTGGAGCTCACCTGAGTCGAGAGTCTGAAAGTCCAGGCGTCTCTGGATTTTCCATGCCCATGTGAACAGACGCGTGTGGGCTGGGGATGTGGCTCCGTGGTAGGACCGTGAGGCCCCAGGTTCGGCCCCCAGTGGTGCAAACAGCAGGAATCACAACAAAACATATATACGTGGTGCCACGCTGATGAACATTTGACAATCTCTTGGTGACGGTGTGCCGATGCCTGTGGTATAAATGTCCCAGCTATGTAACACGTGCTCTCAGAATGTGCAGTTGGGAAGAAATATGCAGGAGCAAGTAGAATGTGGTATTGTCACTGCTTATAGACAGCAGACACAGGACCCTCCAGGGCACTTTGTCAGGCAGCTTTCTACTACTGTAACAAAATGCCTGAGATAATCACCTTTATAAGAGGAAGAGTTTATTTTCACTGTCAGATTCAGAGAGGACATTTTAAATCCAAACTGTCGAGGCATAGATAACAGTGAAACAGTTGGGAAGTGGTAAGTTTTGAGCGTTATCTTTAAAAATTTATAATCTATTGAATCATAATTTTGTATCATCCAGTGTTAATAATGGCTGTGTGTAATAACGCATGACAAAATTCCTGAAAATTTAACGTCGGCCCCTTATTAGTCAGTGCAAGCCAGCTCCAGCATACCACTCTTTTCTGTTTTACTAAAACACTAGACCATGTAATATTTTTTAAACCTCTTTTTGATCCAAAAGACTCCTCATGGGGTCATTTCTTCCTTCCTTTAGCATGTGCTGGTTCACTGTGTTAGGAACAGGATCACCAGCACGATGGGAGAACCATGTGCTTAAGGTCCGATCAGGAAAGGTGTATTCACTGGAGGTGACATAATCTGAGACCCAGGAGGTAAAAGGGGATTCCAGGCACCCAAAAGTTGCTGGGAGAAAGTTGACAAAGGATACGTTCACTTGGGTGCTATTTGCGTAAACTGGACAGTCAGGCAGAACAGCTCATGGCCACGGTTCCTGGCAATGAGAGGGTGTGGCCCTCGGCTCTCTGTGGACGTCATCCCTTTGGGGGAGGACAAGAAGGAGGATGAGCTGGAGGGTGAGAGCATCGTCAGCTGCATCTTGGAATTTTCTCGAGACAAAAGGAGAGAAGGCTCCGAGATAAACATAACTGGTGTGAACTTTTCTTGGCTCTGGCGAATGGGCACAGGGTTGTCAGCTGTGCAATTCTCTGTCACTTCTGAATGCTTGAAGCACTTTATGATTGTTTAAGAATAGAGAAAAGAAGCCTGGGTATGGGACTGCTGCAGATTCAAGGTTAACTCTCAGAGCACAGTGGCTGCGGGAGGACGGGGCGGAGATAAGCCCCAGGTCCGTGGTTCAAGACCTGTGGGATCTACAGGTCTTGAAGGCTCTGACCAGAAGTATGAATTTTGTCGTAAGTGTGGTTTTAAAATCTTGAGCTCATGAGTGATGTGGCCTTGGGCAGCACTGATGGAGAGCTGAGAATGGCAGTGGAGGGCTGGTGAGGAGTCCAGGCCTGTGGGGGGCTGACTCGCTCGGGTACCCACACTTACTCGGGATATCTGCCTCCGTCCCGCTACTGGAAGAGGAAGACAGGGGCACGTGTCAGGATGAAACCAGAATGAATGAAGGAAAAAAGACAGATCTGAGAAAGGACCAACTAAGATTCTGGAAATGAAAATTTTTTGCTGGATGGAAGGTATCCATTTAGACAGAAAACAAAAAGAGAAAGGGAAAATCTCAGAGAATTAGAGGACTGCATGAGGAGAGGGTTTGGAGAAATGTTTCTGGAGATCGACCAGAGAGAAAAACACGCTACTCCATGTGTGTTTAATACAGATTCTACCAGGACAGAGTAGACAAATTGGCTGGGAAACTGCACTCAGAACATAACGGGGAATCCAAAAAGAGACACAAGTCTCGAGTTTTAAAGTGCTCATCAAGGAAGGCAAAGATTTTTATAGAATAAGCCTCGTCTTCAAACCACAGAGCAAAATGACAGAAAGTCATGAGTAGAGACAGTCATCACGTTTGCCATAGGCGTGCATGTCTCTGATCCCAGCAGAGGGGAGGCTGAGGCAGGAGGATCATGAGTTCAAGGCTGGCCCAGGCTACATAGCAAAAGGATGCCAGCCTGACTACATAGGGAGACTCTTCCAAGAACAAAGGCCAACCAAAACACCCTAGACAGCCCACTCACAAAAGACCAACTTCAGACTTGGGAGTAGATTGGTTATGATCCTACAGCTTTCTGTCAGTCTTGAATGTGTACAGAAAGAAAAACCAGCTTAGAATTCCCTGCCTTGATGTTTAAGAGATCTGGTGAAATAAAGATGTTTTTACTGAAGTGACCCCTTGAATATTTAGGGTTGGGGAAAGGCAGGGCCCTCTCAAGTCACACGTGCCCGGTCGTCCGGTGGTGGCCAGTGTCTCCATGGAAGTGTAAAGAGTGGGCTGGATCCCGCTTTAGCTGTCACAATACGGGGCTGTCGGAGTGGCTGCTCACTGGCTGTGTAGCTGGGTTTTCCATCAAGACAGAGGAGAGAGAATTTCCTGTCTGGGTCTTCCCTTCTCCCAGGGATTCAGGACATCCTGGAGGGTTTTGTATTTTCCAGTAACCCTTGTGGGGTGGCAGTGAGCGGAGGGTGGGTGGCCAGCTTGGGTTTCAGTCTTATGGTAGAGGGAAGGGAGATGGGGCAGTGGTGGGACCAGACCCCTGAGGCCCTGTGCCTGGGGCCCCAAGAGCCCCTTCTAGAATGGCCTGCTCTAGCCTGTCTGTGTCTTCCAGATTGTAGACAAGAACAACCGTTACAAATCCATCGATGGGTCGGACGAGACCAAGGCCAACTGGATGAGGTGAGTCCTGACCCCTGCTGGTGTCCCGGGAGCTTGGAGGGCTGTGAGAAGAGGCCATGTGGGGCCTGTAGGGTTTCCAGGGAGGAGGTGGCTGTTTGCATAGTTTGGGCCACATAGAGCCGTGGGGGCCACATAGAGCCTTGTTCTCCAGGCTTTGGTAAGGGCTTCCTAGAGGCTGTACCCTTGCCAGTGCCCCTGGGTGGGGTGGAGAGCACCCTGCTTGGTTCCTCACCTCGCAGCTGCCCTGGGGCAATCTTGTCAATAGCCCACCATGGGACAGGAGGTTTCCTGGAAGTCTCCAGCTCTGATCTGGAACTCGTCCTTTGCCAGGCTTGAGGGCTTTCAAAAGTGGATGTGCCCTGGCTCAGCATGTGGGACAGGAGTTTGAGCCAGGAGGACTTAAAAGGCCAGCCAGAGAGACAGGAGGTAGGCCGTGGGTCACCCCAGCTGCTGGCTGTGTCTGGCCTGTGTGGTGTGTCGGGCTGAGAGATCACACTGCCTGGTTGTCCCTTCCGTGGTGGCTTAGTTCTGGGACCAGGGGCTGTGAGTGGGATGCAGACCTGGGCACGGGGAGCCTTGGTGGCTGCAGCAGGGGCCCCACTGATGTCTGTGCAGCAGTCTTGGCTGTGGATGGTGACACAGGTCCCAGGTGCTCCCACCAGGATGTGTGTGCCCTAAGGGACATCTGTGTCTCAGCTCTGAGTTTCCCAGCAGTGAGAGGTGGGTTGGAGGAGGGGAAGGGGATGAGGTCCTTGCCCACCCCCCGAGCCCATCTGGGTGTCCCCTACCAGAGTACTTTGGGCTCTCCGCTCACCTGTTGGGATGCTGTTGCCGGCTTCTCCCCAACCCCTGGGTCTGGGACAGCTCAGCTATGCCTGTGTCCACTGTGATCCTAGGCCAGGCACTGGGGTGGCCTCCTAGGTTCCCACCAGTACCACAGAACTGGCTTTTTCCAGTATGGCTGTGGGATGGAGGTCGGGGTGGGGGACTCGATGTGGGCCTCCAAAGGGGCCATAGACCACCCACTGGGCTCTGCAGGTCACTCGGGCCTGGCCTTGGCAACCGGTAGAGTGTGTGTGATGGGACCTGGCATCGGGCCATCCCACACTGTCATTTGCAAGGCTCTAGGACCTTTGGCTTGTGACTCTGAGTCAGTTCTGCCATCCAACTTCTACCTCTGAGCTTTCACCTGGGGACAAGTCTTTCCCATAGCCCCCCAAAAGGGAGCACCCATCTGGACAAGGCGGCCACCGTCTGGCACCCCAGAACAGGCAAGGTCTTGCCCAATATTATGTAGTCAGGGGCAGAACAAGGACTGGAGCCTGAGTTTCTGGACTTCAGGACGGAGTTCCCTCTGTCTGTGCATGGGGACAAACAGAACACAGGTCCCTGAGTCCCAGATGCCTCATGCTAGTGTGAGCTCCATCCTGCTTCTGCTCCCAGGCCGGTCCTGGGAGGTCCCAGCTGGCGGCCTCCAGCTCAAACCAACTCAAGAAGCAGGTGGGCTTGGGCGTGAGTACAGCTTCCATTCTGACAGCTCTTGCAAAAGATTAGACACCTTTACTGGCACTGTCAAGACTTGGGCTTTGGGGACAGTGCCGTGGAGTTAGTTTCTACAGAGTATGCGGAAGGCACGAGGCACTCCTGTTTTGAACTCTGGCCGGCAGCCACCCGAGGCTCAGTGCTCTATCTTATGTCTGCAGGGTCCTTTGGCAGCGGCTTTGGGACATGGTTGGTGGTCGTAGTTTTAGGGGTAGATGCTACCAGTTTGCACCAGGTTGAAACCAAGGATGCCAGTAAGAATTCTTAGCAGTAGGTCACTCCTTGCCCCCGAGGAATTTTTCAGTTGAAAAAAAAAATGCATCAAAACCTCTGATAGCCCTGGGAGATGGTCCTGGAGGGGTCTCTGTAATGTTCTAGACCTGGCAGTCCCCAAGACTCAGCCCAATCAGGTCTGAGTGAAGGCCCCCTTCCCTACAGTGTCTTGGCTGGGTCCCAGGTCCCCGGCCTTCCTCTTCTGACTTCTGGTGCTCTGCAGGGAGCTTGGGGAGGGGATGCTGGAGACCTCGGAGTCACTGTCCTGGGTGGTTTGTGGCAAAGAATTGGCTCTGGGAGCCTGCTGTGCCCTGATGACTCTCTGGGGTGGACCTTTCACACCCCGTGGCACTAACTAAAGGCCAGACAGAGCCATACTGTGTCCCTTACCCAGTAGCCTGGCTGCTTGGTGGGGACTGAAGCAGTAGATGATTTCGGGCTCCTCTAACCCCACCAGAAAGCCAGAGCAGCCCCCAAAAGGCACTGTAAAGGCGCTGTAAGCTGCACTTCCTGTGTAAACACAGAGGCTCGGGAACTTGGGGCACAGACAGAAGGAAAGTGAGCGTGAGTGACAGAATAAGCCTTGTGTGATCACAGGCTCAGAAGGGGTGTCACCAGAGAATGTCACAAGTCAGCAGCCGGGGTGGACAGCCTCCCCGGCTAAGCATTCTTCCTCCAAGCCTTTCACTCGGCCACAGGGCTCAGTGTAAGTGTTGTTTTGCAGTTGCAGTGGTCTCACCCTGACCGCAGTAAGGGCTCCACACTCCTCTTCAGAGCTCTCGTCCTCCTACAGGAGAGGCTGGTGTGGCTGCTATTCGCATTCTGCGTGGGGAGTAGCACTCTTGACTAGTAAGGGGTAAGGCAGGGTCTGCCCTGCAGAGTCCAGGGCCTCTACCCAGCTCACGTGCGTCTTCTCCAAGGACTAGCAGAAGGGACCTCTGAGCAGGAGGAGGGCGTGGTGGGGCCCGGTCCCTGACCCAGGTGCCTGCTGGCTCCCCAGCTGGGGGCTCAGTTAGGAAGGAGAGAACCACCTGCGGTGATGGTCATTTACCCAATTGTGCTTTGTGGGATATTCAACCCAAGGAATGTGGTGCCCCTGGCCGAGCGTAAGAGGAAGCCCAAGTTCTCCAAGGAGGAGCTGGACATTCTGGTCACGGAGGTGACCCGCCACGAAGCGGTTCTCTTTGGGAGGGAGACCATGCGGCTGTCCCATGCCGACAGGGACAAGATTTGGGAAGGCATAGCTCGGAAAATCACCTCCATCAGCCAGGTTCCCCGCTCCGTCAAGGACATTAAACACCGATGGGATGACATGAAGCGGAGGACCAAGGACAAGCTGGCCTTCATGCAGCAGTCTCTGTCGGGCCCTGGGGCCGGGAGCCGGGCGCCCGCTGTCGTGCTCACTGCCCACGAGAGGGCCATCGAGTCTGCGCTGCTCATGGCCCGCTCAGGGCACGGCTTCCCCAGGGCCGAGCTGGACGGCACCGTCACTGACAGCCCGTCCACCAGCTGTGAGTATCGCCCTCTTGGGCCCCGCCAGCCTAGCTCGGGTGGCTCTTCTCAAGAGCCCTCCCTCCTCCACTCTCCTGTCCTCCAGCCTGCTCACTCCTCCCACCCCCACATCTGTGCTGTCACCCCTTTTTGTGCCTTTATTCTAGAGAATTCACTGAGCATCTCTGTGCCAGGACCAGGGAAGGCAGCTGTGTGTAAAATATAGGAAGGATGATCGCAATATGCCATAGATATTTAATTTAAGAAATATATTACAGGAAAGACAGGTTACTATTGGTCTCCCCCAAAATCCTTCCCCTTGCCTCGGGCATATTTATCCTGTCATCCTTGCCACTTTCTGAAGCACTTCTGGAAGGCTTCTTTTGTGAGTGTCTTTATGAGGAGTGATCAAAACTCTAGTGAACGCTGCCGCTGAGTGTTACCCGGCAGAAAGGCAGGCTGATAAAAACATGACACTGTGTCCCCGTCTACCATGTTCGCCGATGTGGGACTCTGAGACTTCCGGTTCTTCCCAGAAGTCCAAATGATCATGACAGGTAAACATCTTGAATCAATTCAGGACATCAAGGCAGCCGCCACTGTACAGTAAAAGACACGGAACAGGACTTCCAGGACAGCTTGGGAAAGCACCAGAAAATGGGTTCTGTGTGTTGGAAGTGAGGGGGAGGATTTTGAAGCAGTGTATCTTTTGCTGTAATAATTTTCTAAAAAATTTAAACACTTAACTGTAATTTTTGACCGTACCTCCACATACAGAGCCTGCTCTTGTGGACGTCCTGGATTTGCGGGAATACACAAATGTACTTAGATAGTCGCAGCAGTGGATCCCTGAGGAAGGGAGGGATGAGGGTTGTGTGAATGAAGAAAGTACTGACTTCTAGATCTCACGACCACGCAGTTGCATGGACGCCCGGGTCACAGGCTCTGTGGATGATGTGACCTCACAACAGCCCTGTGCATCCCAGGGTGCTGCGTTTGCTTCTGAGTTAGGCTGGGCCCTGGGCTGCAGCAGCCCTGCCTGGGAGTAAGGAGTGGGAGGAAGGGAGGGTGCGGAGGAGTTAACCGGGCCTGGTGTGAGGCGCAGAGGAGGGGCCGGCGGAGAGCAGCGCGCAGACTAAGAACAGCATGTACGCAGCCCGCATCAGGAAGGCGCTTGGCACGTTCCGGGAACACAGGAGCCAGGGACGCCCCGGGGTAGCAGGCGGGGGAGGGGCAAGGCCTGGCCCCGAAAGATCAGCTTCTCTCTCTCTCTGCTTGTCTGGGCCACTTGCTTTTATTTCTGTTTTATTTCCTGCACGCCCATCTTGTGTGCCCAGCTGCCTTCTCTGGCCTCTTTCTGGTTCTGCCTCTTTCTGCCTGCTTGAGGCCGCCTCAGTCCCATCCCCCCAGCCCATCCCACCGTGTCTCCCAGCTACCCCTACCCCCCAACCCTGGCCTTCAGGGCTCCTCCTGCCTTTCCCCTCTGCTTCCAGTGTCTCAGGCAGCCTTGGAGGCCAGGGACCTTGGGGCTGCCTGCCTTGCACTCGTCAGAAAGGCGAGCAGTCAGGGCTATCTTCGCGGGACTGCACCCCGTTTCCACTCTGTGCCTTTGTACTTCCCTGTCTGTCCCCTCCCCACTCTGTCAAAGTCATCGACAGACTGGGAGGCCAGGAGCAGGCCAGGAGGGGCCCAGG